TGGGGAAAGCAGGTCAGCCCCTGGCTGGATGGAGTGGGAGTGAAAGAACAAAGCAGTACATTCCACACTGCGATTCTTCTTTTGAAAGAGGGTGGGTTCGAACCACCAATCTTTTGGTTGCTCACACTCATTGCCATTGAGTTGATTCCAACTCCTAATGGACCTATAGGGCAGGGCAGAACTGTCCTTAGGAGGTTCCTAGACTGGAATCCTTGACAAGAGTCGAAAGCAGCTTCCTTCCTCGGAGGGGCAGCCTAATGCGTAACCACCACGCAAGGACTTTCAATCAAGCAAACAAAAACAACAATTTCACAACTCCCACCTCCTGGTCCCTTACGCTGGGGGCTGGGGAGAACCCTAAAGGGCCTTTGGTTGCATCTCTTCCCAGAACCTTGACAGAATGGTTTCCTCTAACGTGATCTCAGCTCCATCTCTGGCTCTGTGGCCATCTCTTATTCTGATGGAATATGCAGAGGCAAAGCTGTGGAAGGCAGATGGTCGCATCATTTGGGAACAAATGAGTTACAACTGGGCAGACGTGAACTATCCCAAACTTTGACTCCCCGCGTTGCTGAGCTAGCCTGCGAGAAGCCGCCTGGCATGGGCCAGTGGTTTGCTAGAGTTAAGGGTAGATGCAGGGAGCAGGTCGGTGGTCAGACCTGGCGGAAGGGTGGCGAAGGATCACTGCACGAGCCCCAGTTCTATGGCCCTTCTTCCCATTCAGTTCCTGACTTCGGGTAACAGGAGTGGGCGGGGCCGAGGGTGTCTCAACAGTTGCATGTTGTAACTTGGGTCTAACTCTGTGGCTTTGATGTTGTCCCCTTCATGTTTCATCTGTGTTTCCCATTTCCTTCTTGAGTGCCTCTTTGAAACACTGAAGTGCTTCTGACACTAGGGAATTTTGTAAATAACTTTCTGGTTTTGTCTTCCTCCAAACCCAAGAGGCCTGGGCCCATTGACCTCCGTGGTTTACACACAATCACGTGGGTTCCGTTCTCTGCAGAGTAATAGTGGCATGTGCAAAAGTCGTGTCAGCAGTGAAACTCAGGGTTCCTACGTGGATCTCCTGAGGCGCTTCTGGGTGAGCTCCAACTGCCTTTGGGGCGAGCAGTGGAGTGCTTGACTGTTTCCCCCATCCAGGGACCTTGCATCTACTCCAGCCTCTTCATTTGGAAAATGGGGATTTGCTGTTCCCAGGCAGCATACGTCCAGGGAAGTGGTTGGAAACATGCGTGATGATGGGAAAGTGTGTGTAGGGGACCTCAACAGACAATACAATAGAGGGCTTGGGAAAAGTTCCAGAAAAAAGTCCATTCTCTTTGAATTCCATTTTTCAGTGAACTTTTTGAAGCCCCATCATACTTCCAGAGAGATGCAGAGAGATAGAAACATCCATTTGGGATCCACAGAGCAAACAATCAGAACTCCATCGGGGGAGCAATGGATGGATATCCAACCTATTTCCCAAGGGTGCTGGGACTTGCTTACACTGGACTTCCACAAGTGAGATGTTCCATCTCTAGCCAAGTGATGCTGTTATCATCTGTGGGGTGAAGCCAGAAGATTCATTCCATGTTTGCCAGCCAAAGCCCAGAGCCAATCCCACCCCCTCCGTGCCTGAAAGGCAACAGTGCCACTAAGGATGGCATCTCCAGTGTGGACATCACTTCTGCAGCCTCCCTAACCTCCTGAGAGTATTGCTCCTGTCAGTCTCCCTCCCAGTGATGGAGAAGGTATGTGCAGTATATGGCAGCTACCTGCTCCCCAGGAGAGCCAGAGATAGAGCAGAGTTGACCACGGTTTCCAGGGGGGGGTTGCCCTGATCTAAGAGGATTTGATGTCACCTGAATTTTTTCTTTTTCCTGTATCCCTGAACTCATTACTCCTTATCAGTCCAAACTCTCCTGCAGGCTAGTATGCTGTAGTTGGCTATGCCAGGTAGTGGGGTCCCGTGATTTTATCCATGGTGGTGGAATGAGTTACTCATTGGGTTGCAAACCTCAAAGTCAGCAGTTCAAAGCTGCCAATGGCTCTGTGGCAGAAAGTTGAATCTGTCTATTCCTAAAAAGACTTCCAACTTCAGCAACTCACATGAGCAGTTCTAACATGCCCTTTAATGTTGCTACGAATTGCTATGGACTCAATGAGGGTGAAGGATTGTTTTGCTTTATTTTCGGGTTTTAGAAGCTCAGAGCATCTCATATCTCTGTTCCTCCCCTTAGGAGGATAACATCTGCATGTGAACTTCAAATACTCCAGTTGCCCAAGAGTGAAAATCTTGCTCATCAAAGTTTCCTTACATTTGCCCCTTTTCTCTGTGCAGCATCTAACTGTGAGGTACCTGGCTATAGACAGGCTATATATAGCCTGTCTGTGCTCTCTACACTACAGCATCATAAACACATGCCCATTATGGAAACCAAATCATTGGTATGTCTCCATTCTATCCTTTATTTTCTCATTCCTTCAACCATGTACAGATGCTCCCATTAGCCAGATACAGAACAGGACATGAGGTGCACCAAGGTGAGTAAGACAAAGTTTCCCCCCAAACTGTGGGCCCTCCTGGCGCAGTACCTCAGACCGTTGGCACTAGTGGTTTCCTCAATGTAGACACTGTTAGCTCCTCCCATGGTGGCTCCTTTAGGACCCAGCTCAAATCCCACCACTTTAGAGAGGCCTTCCTTGACTACCTAAATCATCCATCCACTGCCCACTTCCCGCCCCCGCCCGCACCCCCCCCACTGCCCTTTAGTGGTTTCCAACTCACAGTGACCCTATAGAACAGAGTAGAACTGTCCCTGTCAGTTTCTGAGACTGTAACTGTTTAGAGGGGTAGAACACCTCATCTTTCTCAGTGAGATCAGCTGGTAGCTTCAAACTGTCAACCTTGAGGTTCTGCCACCAGGGTGCCTTCCATCAACCCCTAGGTCATCCCATCACATGATCCTTATCTATCCTTCAGAGCATTTGCCACCATCAGTAACTATCCTAGGCACGATTTACTGTCTCTCTCCTCTAACCTGAATGTGAGCTCCCTGGAGGCAGAGGCCTCTCCGGTCTTCTTCGCAGCTGTATCACATCCCCTATGCCTGCCCCTCAGACACTTTAAGATTAACACTGTGTGAGATCTGTACAATCGGAACAAGCCCCTGTCATCAAGTCCATGCCCCTGAGAGTTTTCAAAGCTGTAAAGGTTTAGACTGCCTCCTCTTCCTCCCATGCAGCAGGTAGTGGGTTCAGAGCACAAACATTTTGGTTTGTAGCCAAGGGTTTCACCACTGCACTCCCTGGACCCCTTGCCTGAGATACAGGAGACAAGATGTATCAAGTATGGATAGTGTGATAGCTTTAAACAATAGGGAGACAGGGGTATAAACAGGTATTTGTCCACCAACGTTTATTGCAGCACTGCTCACAATAGGCAAAAGGTGCAAATACAGGAATGTGCTCCACAGACGACTGGAGAAGACAATGTGGTCCACGCACACAACGGAAGCAGACTCGGCCAGAAAGAAAAAAGAAGTCCTGATGCTTTTGTGCTGCCACTTGGGTGAGCTGGAAAAGCGACACGCAAACATTGCATACTCCCACTTACGTCTATAAAATCTCGAGGACAAGCAAGGGTATGGAGACCCAGGTTTGTCAGCAGTTAACAAGGGTGGGAGAGGGAGAGCCCTTGACTATGGGACACTACACTTCTGATAAAAACAAACAAAACTCCTTATGGCCAGAGAATTGATGCCAATTCAAAGTGATCCTACAGGAGAGGGTAAAACTGTCCCTGTGAGTTTCTGAGACCATCACTGTTAGCAGGAGTGGAAAGCTCTGTCTTTGTCCCCCAGAGCGGCTGATGGTTTCAAACTGCCAGTCTTGCAGATCACAGCCCAATGTGGAACCGCTATGCCACCAGAGCTCCTTGTGTTAAGGGGGATGAAAACCTTTGGAAATGGACAGTGCTGATCATTACATAACATGGTGAATACAATGAAGGTCATAAATTGTACACATGCACACATGTTCAAATGGCAAATGCTCGCGCGCGCACACACACACACACACACACACATTTACCACAGCAACAACGAATCAGAAGAGCTCAATAAGTACCACCATGGAACGTTCTCAAAGTCAGACTGAAGCACACCAAAAAACAGCAAGAGATATCTAGTCTGACTATACTTAAGTTTCAGAAGACACCTTAAAAACCTAAATGTCCATCAGCTGATGATTGGATAAGCAATATATGGTATAAACCCAAAAAGCACACTACCATCAAATGGATGCTATATTGATCCTGTTGGGACAGAGTCAAGCAGCCTATGTGGGTTTCTGAGGCTGTAGCTCTTTTTTAAATATATAATTCAAAGTATCTAAATCATTTATTTGAAGAACTTTTAAAAAGATACGTTGAGTACAACCCTCCTTATCATTTTTTTTAAAAGGTTCATCTATGTTCCAGAAAAGATTTAAAGTAGTGAAGCTGCTACTTTTTTGTGCGCTGATGTCATTTTAAGACCTGGAAATAGGCCTTCGCCAGAGCAAAATATTTTGTTCTCAGAATAGGAACAACATTCAGATTTTACAGATTCGGTTATTCGGGTGACTATGGGGACACAAAGACATAGACGCTTGGTCCTCTTGCTGAATTCGCATGGAGGTTACTGATACCCAGGAGAAAGCTTCACCAGCTTGTAGATGCTCCAATAGGTCTCCATTTCCTTAGAAAGACAACGGCATAAATCACGAATGCGTTTTAAAGTCCACCTATCTCTTGGCTCCTTCCGAAGCCCTTTCCTGTGATTTCTGATACTGGCAACCGCCTTCAGAGGAAGGCAGGATTCAGGTACTCATTCCAGTAAGGCATTTTCCCACAATCACTGAGGGATGCCAAGGAAAGGTTGCTCTTGGACCTCATAGTTATTTTTTTTTTAAGAACAAAAAGTATTGGTTTTCTGATTGGTTTTAATTTTAGGAATTACATTAGATATTTCTTATTTTCAAAATCCATCCTTCACTGAGAAGACAAGACATTTCTGAAGTCCATCTCCGGGGTCTTTTGGGATTCTTGCTAACTGGGCAACATTTTTCATTGAGAAAAGTGCGTCTTTGTTTTGCTCGTACCCTTTGAGGAAGAGAAAGTGGGCGCTGACTGTCCAGATGGAGGTGTTTTGAAAATCAAGACCAGGCTCTACAGTGCCCTTGGAACTGGGTGTCTCATGACTGTGGGTCACAGAACTCTGAGCCTTCCTCTCCAGTGGCCTCAGAGTGGGGTTAGCCGTAGGAGTGCCCAGCCTGCTCTTCAGCAAGGAGAGAAAGCTTCTCCTTTGACCTTGATGTTTAACTGTTCTGTTGTGTGTCTTACAAGCAACCAACAATACACCTTTGGCATCTTTGTACTTTTTCACAATTTTTCCTTCTTTAAAACCGACTGTACCGCTTTTTGCTTCTCGATTCAGAAGTGTCTGTATTTGGGGTGTCAGTGTAGGCTTTGGTGTGAGGCACACTTGGGAGTTATGCAGCACCAGCAATGGGAAACAGTATGGATATGTTTCTTCAGAAGTGTTCTCAGCATCGTGTGATGAACTGCAGGCCCAGAGGAGACGGCCAGCTTGTAGTTCCCGTGCCACAGCCTCAAGGTCGTGCCTCTCTCTCATCATGGTCGGTGAGAAAAGGACACACGGGAGGCTGGAGCTCTTTACGGGAGCAGAAAGCATCATTTGTCTCTCAAAAAAGTGTGGATTCAAATGCCTGACCTTGTGGTTACAGCCCACCATGTAACCCACAACACCACCAGGGTTCCTTCGCACTGCCAGCTCACTTCAATCCTATTGGACAGCGTCGAATTGCCCCTGTAGGTTTCAGAGCCCATAACTCATAGGCAGAAAATCTTATCTTTCTCCCTTGGAGTGGCTGGTGGGTTCAAACTGCTGACCTTGTGGTTAACTCTCTCTCAACTCACTGCCATCATGTCAATGTTGACTCATGGTGGCCTCCTGTGAATTTCTGAGACTGAGCTGCTAGTGGTTTCGAACGGCCAATTCCACAGATCACAGCCCAATGCAGAACCACTACACCACCAAGGCTCCCAATATGTACCTCACAATACCACCAGGCTTTAGGGCTACACCCAAACAAACAAACCCAAACCAAACCTGTTGCCATTGATTGAATCAGATTCATGACAACCCCATGATGCCTTGCAGAGTTGAACTGTTCCATACAGTTGCCGTGACTATAAAGCATTATTTACTCAGAAATGGCTTGCCAGACTTTCCTTCCATGTGGCCACTCGAGGGTTTGAACCCTTAGCCTCTAAGTTAGGAGCCCAGGGTAAACCGTTTGTACCACCCAGGGATCCGTGGCCGGTCTAGGTCCATTCAATTCCTTCTGCTTTATTTCCAGACATTCGTACCCAACATATTCAAAACACCTAGCTGATCTAATGCCTAACATAGGAGGGAGGAGGAAGTCTTTTAAAGACCCTTTGGAAAACAGTTGCTAAAGTAACTAAACGAAACGTCAAGGAAGGAATGCTAAGGACTGAGCCCTTCTATGTATGCCCCAAAGCAGAGGTGGGGAGTGCCGGACCCCACCAGCTGGGTCCAAGGCACTTTCCCCCAGTCATTGGGTGGAGCCTCACATGCCTGCCTAAGTACCAATGACTTTGAATCAGCATTATGATTTTGTTTTAAATGTCAGGGCCTATGTCGGCAGCGATTAAGGGGGATTGAAACATTTGTTCTCTGTAATTCTTCCAGGCATGTGGATTTATACCAGTCATTTGCACAGCAAGCCATGCATTCAGAGCTAAAGCAAAAAAAAAAAAAAAAAAAGCTTTAACCCCATCCCGTCTGATGTACAAGTGGAGTCCTGAAGGCGCTGTGGGTTATACATTGGGAAAGTCAGTGGTCCAAACCCATCTGTTGATTTGGGGGTGAAGGACGAGGTTGTCTGATCCCATGGAGATTTACAGGCTCAGAAATCCTTGACAGAGTTGCTATGTATCAGAATTGATTCACAGGCAGTGGGTGTGGGGATTTGGGGGGTGAGGTGGGGTTTTGAATATTGAGAGCACTCTCTGAGTTCATCCCTCAAGGGGAAGTGGTGGGGAGGGGCCATATTCAGAGAGCCAGTCGGGATTTTTCTTCCCATCATCCCCTTGATCATTCTTGTTCCTGAGGTGAGATAAGAACGCTCATCCCCGTGTTCCTCACAGGCTGGAGCTGCAGATGAAAGTAGCTAAGTTTTGCAGCCTGCCCAGCCCCAGAAACTGGTTGCCAGGAACCTCATCAGCTTCCAGGCTGCCTCCAAGAGCTGCAGAGCTAGGAAGGGAAGGGTCCCTGCCAGGCTACTATGCCTGGGCGTCTCCAGGAAGGAATTGTTGGACACTGAAGGCAGGCACAGCTCCACTTGCCGTCGGAGGTCAGGCTCGCTAGGCTCCAGCCGTGGCAGGCAACGCAGGGCCAGCTGCAACGTCCTCATGCAGGAAGTATGTTAGCACCCTGGTTAGCGGGCCTGCCGGTGGTATGACATCCATAACATGAAGCATGTGGTGCTACCATCACTAACATCTTTTGTCAGATTGTCTATCATCAGTTAAAAGACAAAACACAAGCCTTCCTAAATAATGGCTCCTCCTTCCTTCCTCCCTCAAAACAAAAAACTAGCCAAAAAAAAAACACCTCACTGCCACTGAGTCCATTCTGAATTATAGCGACCCTATAGGACAGGGTAGAATTGCCCCTGGGGTTTCTGAGACTAAAACCTTTTTTCACTGGAGCGGACATCCTCATCTTTCTCTTGAGGAGCAGTTTGTAGGTTCGAACCTCTGACCTTGTGGCTTGCAGCTCAATGTGTAAGCCACTATGCCACCAGAGCTCCTTACTATGCCACCTAGTGGCCCAAATTTCCATCAAGGGCATAGCCAGACCAGTTTCTGGGGATGAGGCTGCCCCTTCCCCTTGGGCTGGCCATCAGAATGGCAATAATCCCTAACACCTTGCCTGAGGGCAAGCCTTTTCACTTTGTCAATTGTCAGAAAGAAGTTGCTGACGGCTGAAGGTAAGCGGTGACTCGAAAAATGGATTTTGATCTCTCACTGTGAACCTCATCCTTCGCAAACTTCCAAAGCAAAACCAAACTCATTGCCATAGACTCGATGCTGACTCAGAGACCCTGGGGGACAGTGTAGAACTGCCCCCGTGGGTTTCTGAGGCTGTAAATCTTGACAGGAATAGACAGCCTCATCTTCCTCCCAGGGTGGGGAGTGGCTGCTGGTTTCGAAATGCTGCCTCACCAGGTGTCCTGGCCGCTACACATTTGTCTATGGATGCTCCATGTGTCATCTCAATGTGAGTACACATTCTTTGTCCTCTGGAGCCTGGCATGTTTCCCTCCACATAGTGTCTGTCAGGCTCATTCCTGGTGTCACACCGATGGAGCCTTTACGTATCTGATGGCCGAGTGTCTCTGCCCCATGGCTCTGTCCATTCAGCTGGGAGCGGACACTTGGGCGAGAGCGAACAGGGCCGCTGCCGCAATGAGCAATGCTGTGGAAATCTCGGTTGGAGTCCTTGCTTTCAAGTCTGCTTCGCTGAGCTTGAAAGCACTGGCTGTAAGTCAGCTATTTCTTGGTTCCGCCTTTCATTGCCTTTCCTACTGGGTGTGGTGGACAGCAGTTGGCCACGATCGGCTCCAAAGGCGTGTTGGATTCTAGAAGAGTCTTTTGGGAAGTGTGGGGGGTTGGATTCTCAGTGTAGCACAACTCACAGATCTCCAAGCCAGGGGAGTGCAAAACCCTGAATAGCCCACCATGGAGCAGCAGGCCAAGCCAGGGATCAGGACGCCCTGGTGGGGGGGAGGGTTGGTGGAGGCCATAGCTATCTTCCAACACGCCGCATGAAGTTGGTTTCTTCCAGCCCCTCCCTAAAAAAACAAAACACCCCACTTGTCATTCTTTCTTTCATCTCAAAATCATTCCACGATGCTCCAGGGCTGGCAGGAGAAAAGCCACACAGTGTATGTTCCAGTCAATTCGGGGTTTCTTGCTCTGTCTTGCTCAGGCGCATGCTCATTGTCCTGGCCCCGTCTCCCTGGATTTCTGAGGTCCCCCTCCCAATGTGAGGTGGACTTCTCCTGCTTCTCTCTCCCCATAGTAAACTGAGGCACTGAATTCCCTAAGGTTATTGTCAATACCTCTTGAACTTATGCTCCATTCTGTCTCTTCAGACACCTTCCCACCCCTCTAGTTCCCTGGAGTACAAATATAGCACAAGGGCAAGGACAATATGGCAAATCTTGGTTTTCCATCTCGGCTCCTGGACCTCTCATCACATCTTCCTTACATGCACACCCTCACAGAACTATAGACTGAAAACCGCAGCGCTGTCTCACACATTCTTTCTGTTTGTCTTTATACTAATATGATCTCATCCTTACCCCCTTAGTGTTATTTGGGTTTCATTGTTCTCTGTTGGGTTTCCCAGCAGTGAAGCACAGGAGGAATGGATGTATCTTGATAAGAACTGATACAAGGAGTTATAGGGAATGCAGGAGTGGGGGGTGGGCGATAGGGAGGGAAAAGAGATTTCAGGAGTAAAAAAGGATGGTGTGAGGGGGGAGGGAGCACTACAACAGATCGTGAATGCACAACTCACTTTAAAGGTGATTTAACCATGGGGGGAGGGTGCTCCTTGATAGTTGTGATGGTAATTTACAATTCCCCTTGATAGGATTGAACTCTCAATTGTGATATGTAAATTATGTGCCATTAAAACTGTTGGGAAAGAAAAAAACACGCTGGCATCTAGGGCATGTCCACGCAGCCCCTCTCTAGGGCAGAGTAGGGCTGCCCCATGGGGTTTCCTGGCTGTACTAGCAGACTCCCATAACTTTCTCACTTCTGTGCATCCACACACCAAAAAACCAAGATCACACCCATGGAATCCATACCAACTCACAGTGACCCTCTAGGACAGGGTGGAACTGCCCCCGATGAGTTTCTGAGACAATAACTCTTTATGGGAGTGGAAAGCCCTATCTTTCTCCCAGGAGGCTGGTGGTTTCAGACTCGTGATCTTTGGGTTAGCAGCCAAGTGCAGAACCATTAGGCCAGCAGGGCTCTTGCCACACTCCTGGGGCATCTAAATGGTAGGGAACAAGTTACATGAAGAATTCAAAGGTAGCTAGATTAGGGACAAAGGGGGGTTGTCTCCTCTGAATGCCTGTGCTAGCGGAAACCGGCTGGCACTGCCACAATAAAGGGGTTGGAAAAGAACCAAGCACACGAATTAGACTCCTATGGGAAAATCCAAACTGGGCATGCGCCAACCCACCTCCCACCCGGCACCCCCAGGCCCAGCTGGAAGCCAACTTGGGTATACCTACATTAGGCACCAGCAATAGTAACATCACACAGGTGCTCCTAAACTCAGGCAATAAGGCCGGCCAGTACCCTCAACCACACCCCCACCCCCAAGTGGGGATCAGAGGGGATAAATAGCAGACTGAGGGCAAGCCACAGCCTCTTGTTCCGGGGAGGTGTTCTCTCACAGCTTGGCGGGTAAGATTTCTCCAGCTTGCCCTCTGGGACCCCACACTCTCTTGGGTTTCCGTGCTCTGGGTTCAGGCTCTCTTTGGGCTCCGCGGACTCTTT